CGACTTCGGACTAGGTGCGTTCTACATAGTCGCCCTGACCACAAGACCAAGTTGCGACAACGAGGTCAACACACTTCTATAAATCGAAAGGGGACTGCGACCATAACAGAGGTCACAACATTTTGGTCTTCATATACTCACAAGCTTAGTTCATGAAATCGCTAGTCATTCCTTGATCGGCCTATGTTGGTATTTGTCTCCGATTGCTTATCATGTACCACCTTCGTTTTAAGCATATTGTAAAGGCCTAAGCATTCAACACCGGCCGAATCTGTGAGCCCGAGCTTTTTTCCCTTGGCGGCTCCATTGCAAGCCAAAAAGACATTTCCTATAAACAGGCTGAATTTTTACATTCTTTGAAGCAGAACCAATTGCAATTTCCTCCGGCATATACAATCATGCTTGTCTAAGCACCTTCTGGGATTCCGTAAGTATTGGATGCCCAAAAAACGGATGAAATAGTCTTCAAAATGTAGCAACTGGATGCCATAAAGGTAATGTGAGATCTGAAAAAGAAAGGATCTAAAGGGCTTTATAAACCTAGGTCCAGCGAGTTTACCCTGCCGTAAGCGTAAATAGTTCTTGATAATCGAGGGAAAAAAGGTGGAATGTGGTGAGATGTAATGGTAATAAAAAAACAATAATAGTAATAGTAAATAACAAGAGTATGCATAGACGATACAATGAAATGAGTGAAGACATGATAAATAATAGATTGCAAATGAGCAAAGTAATATTTTTACCTGTTGAAGCTTATAGTTCGCGCCAAGCATCCAAATACTCAGAAAGACGACCCAGGCGAGAGCGAGAGCAGCAGAAATAAGAAGATTAGTGAGGCTGGATTAAGGTAAAAATAGAGGAATAAAGTGGATGATTGAACTGTGAATAGATTGTGCAGAAAGCATGAAAATATCCCATAAAAGTGTCCTCGATTCATACAAGGACAATCGAGTAATGAATTTCAAATAACACTCTTGTCAGCGAAGAGGATTTCTGCGCATCGTTCATTTACATTTATTTACTCTTCTTCTCACATCCACGAAAAGAAGAAGCTCATCGACTAAACCATACGTGTTATTGGCATTACGAAATCGAGGTAATGGGTAAAATATAAAGAAAAAAGGGTGGTGATAGACACTAAACCCGGATGAATGAGAGCAAACGTTACATTCTATCCTAATTATCAACAAATGAAAGCACACGAGCACACACAAGTAGACACACGCACATGTATTGAGATTGACATATTACCTGAACTAACCAAATAATCATCTACCTCATATAAAATCATATATATATACATTATTTAAAGATAGGCCGGTGATTATTTTTGACTTGTTATCTTGGATATGATTGCAACAAGGATAGCCTGCTCTGATGATGCCTGTCAACTGACGGACGAAGGCTTATCGCGTTTTCTCATGAATCGAAAATGATAAGCACGGAAACAGCGTCAACAAGAATGTTCTAGTAAAGCTAATCCACGACTGGTAAAAAGGAATATGTCGTCGTCTTCTGGCAGGATCGACCTTCAAATCTTGTGACCAGACACTTTCCCTTAAAAGGATGGAAACCACTCGACATCGGCAGAACAAATGTGAAAGCATTTTTGATCAACAATGAAAAATTGTTAAGAGAATGAGTAATGATGTAAGGCATAATATGGATTTATGAATGCCTAATCGGCAGTCGCATTGAATAGTGATAATGAAGCCTGTGAATGGCGATTAAAGTGGATGCGAAACTGATGGTGAAAGCAATCACACCTCAATTAAACCAAATTGATGAACAAATATTTAGGATATAAGGAAAAAAACTAGGATAAAGAAAAGCGTGTGAAAAAGAGTAGTTATATTTCACAATCGATAAAGAGAAAACTTGTCAAAAGGTATGAAGACCAAGATGGTGTGATCTTTTGTGTGGTTGGAGTCTCCTTTCGTTGTATAGAGGTTGTTTGAAATTGTTTTCGCAACTTGGTGATATTGGTACGAAAATTTAGAGGAATGCACATTATCCGGAGTCCATTGTTTTCATGTTCATATCCAAAGTCGGACCGTGGACGTGGTACATTCCAAGACATTTCGTCAGTGAGTCACGTCATTCTTAGCACCACACTACAACTCGTCAAAGAGACAAGTGAAGCCAATCCTTTGAACAAACCTGTGCTATCTTCCCTTCTGCTCTGGGCTATTCCCATTTCCTTTATCCTCCTATCACACCTTTACTGTTACAATCTTTAAGTGCTTCTTTCGATATAGTGTGGTGTGCTACTTTGAGCGACACACCACACTGCATCTAAATAAGCACGGTAAAAATTGTAACAGTAAAGGTGTGATAGGAGGATAAAGGAAATGGGAATAGCCCAAGACAGAAGGGAAGATAGCACAGGTTTGGTCAAAGGATTGGCTTCACTCGTCTCTTTGACGAGTTGTAGTGTGGTGCTAAGAATGACGTGACTCACTGACAAAATGTCTTGCAATGTACCACGTCCACGGTCCGACTTTGGACCGTGGACGTCAACTTTTACACTTTATCATCACTAGATTATTCTTTATTTCACCAAATTCTCATTTAGTGACTTATTTGGTGCATGCTTTTCCCAGCTCTTACATATCGGCTGATTATATTTTTATTGTCAAATTAACCTTATGTATAATTGGAACAGTCTTAAAAGAAAGGCATCTAAGTATTAGTGGCCTTTTTTAATTCGTGCGAACAATTAACTAAGTTTATTGAATAACTTTTTTTTCGTGCATTAGCATATCATCAAGAAAAGCTTTTTATTCAATCAAAAATCCATTATTAGTACTTGAAACGGATTTTTGGTTTAAACTGCTGACTTTTTGATAATGTTCCCTTAGAAAGCTTTGTCATTTCTTATCTCTGAAACATAGCTTTACTTTGGAATAATTACTCTTTTCTTTTCCTAGATGATTTTGCCTCAATTGCTTTAGCCATTATCTGTTATATCATCATTTAAGTTATGTAAATGAAGTCTACTTGATGAAGTTGAGTTTAAGCCCTCATAAGTCTATGCTAAATGGGCTAACCAACCGAATTAGTTGTTAAGCTAAAAATTAACTTTCACACTGTCTAAAGTGATCTTTGCTACCTTGTTGGCAAAACCTTTCTCTTTTAGCTTT